GCCCCAGCTTGCATTCCCATGGATGGAGTTTTTAAAATCTAATTCATACTTCTTTCAAAATGGGACATATTTGAAGGTTTGCTTTGATTCAAGTTGCCTAAAACCTGAGCTCTTTGGATCGCCCCTCACTCTTCATTCTGCAGTTTTCTTTGGAGACTTTTATGCGGAGTTGATTACAACTAGGCCACCCCATACCACAGCTGCATTTCTTTCAAGAGAGCACCTGTCCCCCAAAGGTGCCATCCTTTAGATTGGGGGGCGAGGAGAACCAATACTATGTTAACTGTGTCCCTGGAGGCTTAGTTAGGAATACAGGAGAAAGGCCACACAACAGATGTTATAGCCTATCCATCAAGAAGGTGGCTGTTAGCACAGTGTCCACAAAGTGAGTTGTGTGGGAGAAGACGTGTTTATTCTGTGGCATGATAAGTGTCCTCCTGGATCTTCAGTCTCCACCAAGAAGACCACCTTTTCTTTCAGGTTACCAGAACACATGGCTGAACACTGGGCCCCTCAGGAGCCCTCCAGCTGCTCTGAGATGGATCCTGGAGACCAAGACAAGCATGGCAGTCACAGAGGCTGAGAGGTGGAAGAAACCCATCTGGTTCCACCTCTGTCCAGCATATAAATCCTTCTCCATCCTCACCTCCTCCTTCTTGTACAGAATTGACCACTTCCCAAGGCAGCCAATTCCATTTTCTGACAGCTCTGTGAAAGAGTTCTTCCTTATGCCATATCATAACTTCTGCCTGCCACTAGAGCCCTGAAAAAAACACTGATAAACTCAGCCAAGCCCTCATGGAACATGTATTGTAGACACTTCTCTAAGAGGGGTTCCTGTAAACCCTCCCAAGATCAATTAAATATAAAACAAGTTCCCAGGTAACTGAATCATTTGAGCAGTTATATAAAATTATTTTTATTAGACATTCCCCAAAAACATTTTGTTTTGTTTTGTTTTGTTTTTCCTTTTTGAGTAATTGGTATTTTAGCCTTTCTTCTGAAAAGCATTGAGGGGCACCTGGCTGGCTCATTTGGTTAACCATCTAAATCTTGACTTCGGTCAAGGTCCTTGCTTGCTCAGGTCATGATCTCATGGTTTGTGAGTTCAGGCCCTCCATCAGGCTCTGTGCTGAGAGCAAGGAGCCTGCTTAGGATTCTATCTCCCTCTCTCTCTCAGCCCCTTCCCTGCTTGTTCTCTCTCTCTCAAAATAGATAAAAATAAACTTTAAAAATAAAAATAAAAAGCATTGATAGTGGCCCATTTGTCTGTTGAGGTTAGCAAATGAAAATAAAACCATATAGCAGCCAAAGTGGAGAATGCCTCTCTACCTCCCATCTGGAGTAGGATAAATATGGCTTCCACTCACCCCACAGCTATCTCAGGTCATCAAGAAGAGAGGCCAGACCAGCCTCTGTGCTCCATTCGTCATGAAATCCCATCCAGCTAATCTCACCCCTCAAGATGGTTTATTGACTGCGTCATTCAGAGTGTGGTCCACAGAATCCCAGGCCCACCCTTTCCTCTTGCATCAGAAACTATATGTGTTCTTTATATGGACAAGAGGAAGGGAAACTGAAGACACAGGAGCAAAGCTCATCACTGACTTTTGTTAGGAACTGTGCAGAGCACTCATTCCCCACCACCACCACCCCCTCTTTCCCTTTTTTCAGTTGAAGGAATTCATTTGCAGTTAAAATATCTACACAATCATCCTCATCCCCCGAAATCTCCACTCTTATATTTTGGCTTTCTCTTTAAATAATTTGGCTGCTCTGACATCTTCCTTCACTTCCCTCTAGCACCACAATGCTTGTGAGCTACTGGTGCTCCCAAGGCCATCAGGATATCTCTCCGCAAGACATAACCGATGGCATGTGAAAATTCAGATGGTCTGTTGGGGTGTCATTGATGAGAAACCACCACTGTACCTTAGTAATGACAATAGAGTATTTAACCATAAATAAGGAGGACATCTTGCCATTCACAACAATATGGGTGGACCTAGAAGGTATAATGCTGAGTTGGATAAGTCAGACTGAAGACGACAAATACTAACTGATGTCACTCCTATGTGGAGCCTCAACAACAAAACAAATGAATAAACCAACAAAAAGCATAATTAGACCTATAAATACAGAGAACAAACAGATGGTTGCTGGTCGGGGAGGGGATGGGAAGAATGTGTGAAGGACAGTGTGAGATACAGGCTTCCCATTACAGAGTGAATAAGTCATGGGCATAAGAGGCACAGCGTAGGAAATATAATCAGTGTTGTTGTAATAGTGTTGGATGGTAACAGATGGTAGCTACACTTGTGGTGGGCACAGCATAAGATATAGAGAAGTTGAATCACTATGTTGCACACTTGAAACTGCAAGATTGTGTGTCAACTGTACTCAAAAAAATAAAATAAAATAGAATATTAAAGCAAGATGAAAAAAACCACATGAGGGTCTAGCTTCTGACCCCTGGCTGCTATAGGTGTCTGCTATAGCCATTGAGAGTTTCCCTCATTTTCTCAGAGAGCAAAGACCCCAAATTACCCATAGATAGTGGCCAATCACTCTAAAATCCCTTCTGCACCAATTCTCCGTTTTCTAAGAAAGTATCACTTAGGAAATGCTTTTGGAGAAAACTCGTGAAAACCCTTTGTTCCAAAGGAAGGACTAGTTATCTGCTGTGGCCCCCAATTATGGCTGCAGCATCTACCTGGGACAGTGGGAACACCTGGGCATTAACAGAAACACTCACTTTAAGACGACACTTAGAAAGGGCAGGAAAGACAAGAGACAAGAGGTGAAAGAACACAGACCATGGTCCTCAGCCCCGTCTGGGACAGGCGGTCATATTGCTGGCAGTGCTCTTAACCGCAACGCCTATTCTAGCCCAACAAAGAAAAGACACATTTCTGTGTTATGCTGAAAGCCTTTCCTTATGGAAGAACCGGTTCTAAAGGAAGGGGGTCCTGTTCAGTGAGGAGCTGCTGTGCACACATCTGGGTGGCTCTCCCTCTGGCCACCAGCCAGGGAACCTGGTGGATGGTCTCAGCCAGCTCAGGACAGCCTGAGAAACAGAGACCACAGCTGATGGTGCCACTTCTAAAGTGAGAATGAATGACTGGATCTCTAACTTGTTCTCACAGTGAGGGACGTGGGAATCACAGGGCGCAAGGAATTAGCGAAGGCCAACCTAGTGACTACAGTTTGCCCCTCGATGCAGTTTCCCACAAGCAACAGCCCTTTGGTGGCAGACGTTGGCATTTAAAAGGTTAGAAATGCTCTTTCTGAATTTTCACAGCTAACGGAGTCTTTCTTTGCCTTCAGGTCCACATTGGCCAACTGTATTCGACCGACAAGCTTATTATTGAAAATCAAGAGAAACCCAGGACCTAGAGAGCCAGGACCAGCCACCACTGGCAGCTGTGGACCCCACCTTCAGCATCCATTCTGTGCTTGGGATGCGGGCTCCCAGCAGACCACAAGTGGCCTCTTTCTTACATCAGCTTAAAATAGCCTCTTGCTCTGCCCGCCCTGTAAGGAGCTGATAAACTGAGTCTGGTTTCCATTCTTCTTTAGCCTTTAGTGAAAAAGGATGGCTGTCTCCTTGGTTCAAGTGTTCAAATGAAGAGCTGGAGTTCGCTCCCAATACTGCTGTGTATTATTGTGTCTCCTCTGCCCACCCCTTTTTGTATCTCATCCCCACTTGTATAGAGCACCTCCACACTATGTTTCTTGGTTGACAATAAACAGAATTGTCTGCCTAAGTCACCTGACACCAGATACACTCCTCACGATGAATGCATTTCTTCCTGCCAAGGCAGGTCCTGCAGAGGGCGGTGGGGACCCAGAGGGAGGGTCCCAACCTGAGCTGAGCCCTCCCTTAGTGAAGGTCAAAGTCTCAGCACCCAAGATTTGGGGGGGCAGCAGAGAGTAGGACAGGCTCAAAGGGGTGGAGGGCACATCCTGTGGTTTATACCTGGGCCTGATGCAACAGCAAAGGTGGCCCACAGGTGGCCACACGTGCAAACAAGACACCATCAGCCCCACCTGCGAACTTGTTTCAAATGCAGAATCTCCAGCCCCATCCCAAATCTTCCGAATCGGAATCTTCAATCTAGCACATCTGGATTCCTCCAGTGCACAGGGAGGCTGAGGAAGGGCCACTCGCAGCAGTGCTCCTGAAAGCTGGCTTCCAGAAGCATCTAGAAAATTTCTCGGCATCTCCCTCCCCCTCAGATTCTTAGTGAGAGGTGAGGCACGATCATTTATATCTGCATTTTTAAAGATCCCTTAGTGTTTTTAACATTTCTTAGCCAGTTTGGGGAAACTCTGCCTTTTGAGTATGTTGCAGGTAATGGAGATATTTGTGTGCATTTATCCCTGGAAACACATCAGTTCAAAATATAAAAGGAAGGTATTAAGTAACTTCCTTGATTTCTGGGGATTTTATGGGGGACCCAGATACTATCCAAGTGATTTTTCACCTTTGTAAACAACACAAAGTGAATTCATTACTTAGGTGTTTCGGTTTGGAACAGACTCATATAAATATTTACGGATCACAGAATCGCTGTGACGGTGTCACTGACCCTGCCACTGACCCACTGCCCTGTCACTTTAATTCTTACAGTCATGTGAGTCAAACAGGAACAGTCTAGATCCACATCCTCTTGCATGGGAAAAGATCATGTCTGCCCTTCTCACCCACAGATGGCAGATTTTGTGGTAACAGTGGATTCAAAATAGATTAACAGTGTGCTCGTTCTGATGGGCAGTACATCTTGTGACTTCAGAAAGCTTTTGCCCATGGATAGTCTTGTACACCTGCACCTTGGTGGGTCTGGGATCTGTCACCGGCCCAACAGTGTTAGGGCTGCAGCATGGAGCAGAGGGTGAATGTAGGTGATGTGGGTAATGTCCTTTTCCCCTTCAGCTGACTGTCCTCGAGCAGAGTCCCCCAGCCCTGGGATGTGCAGCTCTGGATCAGTTTTTCCACTCTGCATCAGTAGAAAATATAGTCATTCAGCAACCATTGCACCCAACAATGGGGGTAGCTAATGGATGTCACCTCTGATTTATACTTAATTAATTAAAGCAGCTGCTACTTGGAATCCTAAGTCTAGAGTTGAACCTCTCCTCTAGAAGTGTCAAGTTACCAGTAGGGTATCAGCTCCATAGGAGACTTCCCCCCAGATTTTAGTCACAGACACAGTGGACCAAGCAAACTTAACTTTGTTCTACAGGCCTTAACAGCAGGTCCCTTTTGTGTTAATTAAAGCTCATGAATGCCTTTGAACATGCCAAGCCTTAAAAATAGGGCTAATTTTTGTAACTCAAATAATACTAACTATGCATTAGGAATATATGGAAAGACTTGAAAGAATTGTGTCACACACAATCCACAGACGGGTCTTGAACCTGTACTTCAGGTACAGGTAAGGCAGGCAGAGCCTTACACTAGTCAGTCCCCAAATCAGAGGACCCAGGGTTGACTCTAGAGCTTTGACTAAAGGGACATGCCCATGGTTGTGATCTCTGAAAGAGTTCAGCGTTCCACGTGCTTGACTGGGTCCCACATCACACTCAGCCTCACAGACCTCTAGTGTGCTCAGCTGTTCTGAAGGAGGAATTTAGGCTGGGGTCTGGAGATCACTTTCCAGTGTCTGCATTTAGCAAATGGGAAATGCCACTATGAGTTAACTTCTCCTGAGGTGAAACCATTGGCCAAACACGGCTATTTTCTAGACCTTCAGAGAGAACACTTGGCTGGTCTGGCTCTCATGCTTTAATATCCAGGAAACCTCGTATGACCTAGTGCATGGCTATGTTGTTCTGATGGCTGTTATTCTCTGGACTGTGAAACTAAAAGGAGATCATGGATTTGACGTAGCTGACTTCACCTTCTACTCTGCCCTGCCACCAACAGCAGTTACCTTTTTAACTCCCTTCGTCCATAGCCTCACCCACCATGTCCAGCCCCAAATACAACCAGTAGTGCAATCCGGCATTCAGGAGCAAAGGGAACAGGCTGGGGTGAGTCTACAGAGAAAATAAAGTGTCACAGTTGGCTGGCGGTAGAGCCTACCTGGTCCGACCCCCAAATCTGCAGGTGTGAAAAACAAGATCTTGATCATCCCGGCTCATTGGCAGACCTTTCCCACCCACCCCTTTTGCTGATCTTTTCGTTCATTCAGCACTGCCTGCGAGCCGGCGGTGCAGGTGCCAGGGGGAGACCAGTGAACTAGACACAGCCCCTGACCTCACAGAGCTTGCAGTCCAGGGGGCAAATTGAATGAGAAAGGACCAGTCTGAGGAATGTTACAAAGGGTGACATAGAGGTACTCTAGGAGATGATGGGGTGTATCTGGAAAACCCTGAGGTCAGGGGGATCTAAATTTAAGATTAAATGAGGAGTTGGCTGGACAAAGGATGTGGAGAGGAGCTCTCTAGGCAGGAGGAACAGCATATGCAAAGCCCTGAATCAAGGCAGGAAAGTGTTATGCAAGGAAGCCCAGGATGGCTGACAGGCAAAGATGAGTCAAAAGGCAGGAACCTCTCTGCTGAAGGCTGTGGGAGCCTTGGCCTGAGGCTCTAAGAAGCTACTGAAGTTTTTCAGCAGGATGATATTTGTATTTGTGTTTTTGGACAGGAAGTAGGATTTATGGGTGGGCATGGAAAGGGATGGGTGGTGCCAAGGTTCTCATGAGTGCAGAGCCCACCATTTGTCCAAGGGGCCATAATTAGGGATGTGTTTGATCATCCCTATCTGGGATGAGCCACTTTTCAGCCACCATTTCTTCAAATTCATCCACATTAAACTTAGTAAAGCCCCACTTCTTGGAAATGTGGATCTTCTGGCAGCCAGGGAACTTGAACCTGGCCTTACATAGGGCCTCAATCATGTGCTTCTTGTTCTGCAACCTGCTATGCATGGACATGATGACTCGGCCAACGATGGCCCTGGCCTTTGTGCCCTGGGCCTTTCCAAAGGTACCCTGCATACCTGTCTGGAGCCTGGACTGGAGATAGCATGAGGTCAGACATCAATGTCCACTGGAAAGGGCTGTCCCCAAGGCCCCTTAGGGCAACCCATACAATCAACAGGCTTCATACACTACCAAGGAGGCTACTGCGTGCGGCCATTGCATACTGGGCCCCTGTGGGGAAAGAGCACAGTCGGCTTAATTGGCTGCAGATGATGTTTGTATTTCTAAAAGGTAACATTGTTGTAAGGGGACTAGACTGGGAGAGATGCAGTGAGACCAACTTTTTTGGGGGGTGGGGGAAGGGTTAGATTGAACACTAATCCAGGAAAGAGATGGTAGTGACTTGACCTAGGACGGTGACAGTTGCAAAGTAGAGTCAACATCACCCTGAGAAGAACTTGCTTCAGCTCGGCTGCTCTCCCAAGGAGGTGGGAGACACGTGGAGCAGAGACGCCCGGCTGAGCCTCCCAGCCAGGTCTCGCTTAGATCAGTCAGCTGCAGCCAACCCTCAGGTATGTGATACATAAATTATTGTTTAAGGCACTGCGTCTTGGGTAGTTATGGAGCAATGACAAACTACTACAGAGAGCTAGCTAGTATAATAGTTTATCACTTTAACAGGGCCACATAACAAATCAGAAGGTAGGTAGACAAACTTGGTAAAAACTGTGCACCTCCCATGTAGAGTCATTTCCACAAGTACCTACAGAGTATAGGTGTCATGTCTCCCAACTACTAGACCCCATCAGTGTGTACATTAAGAACAGAACAAGACCAAAAAAAGAAAATAGAGTCAACAGGACTTGGTAATTGAATGTGAAGTGGAGACAGGGTGTCAGGGGAGTCCAGGAGGGCTCCCAGGTTTGGGGCCTGAGTGACTGAACAGATGTTGGACACCTGCTAAGACAAGACAGGAGTGGGCACTATCTAAAGCTTTCTCCTCCTGCCAGGTTCAAACAACTTCAAGTTCAAACAAAAAGCTAGCAACTACAGATGTATCTTTTACTTCCAAAGGTTGAAAATATTATTTCAGGTTTTTTTTTTCAAACAAAACAAAATCCACTGGAAGAAAACAATTTAAAAGACCCTAATGAAGAGATTTTATCCATAGCTCTCTGTAGAATAAATATACTCCTTCCACAAGGAAAGCCTATAGATAAATATTACCACTGGGGACAGGAGGAGTAGGGAGAAATGTTTCTATATTTTGCAAAGGGTGATATAAGATCAAAAGAAAAAAAGGCTAAGGAAGGTTGGTCTACATATTCTAAGAATATGGTACTTAAAAAGGCAACTAGGGGCAACTGGGTGGCTCAGTTGGTTAAGCGTCCGACTTCGGCACAGGGCACGATCTCACGGTCTGTGAGTTTGAGCCCTGCATCAGGCGCTGTGCTGACAGCTCAGAGCCTGGAGCCTGCTTTGGATTCTATGTCTCCTTCTGTCTCTACCCCTTCCCCACTTGTGCTCTGTCTCTCTCTATCAAAATAAATAAATGTAAAAAAAACTTTTCAAATAAATAAAAAGTATGCAACTAAAGTGCACAGTAAAATATCAGCAAGTATACAGAAAGAACACAAATACATTTCATAACAGAATGAGCTGCTTTTGTTTGTTAAGTACTTCATACAAACTGTTAGTAGCTTTCTAGATTAAAGGATATCACAGTTACTGAGGCCAGGCTATAAATATAGCAGCAGCTGAAGAAATGATAAGCACTCAAAACACAGGAGAAAGCATTTC